ATATATGGGTGGCTTGACGTTCAATTTCTATTTTTCACGTCACTTGGATGATGACTGTGGCTAATTTTTGTCGTCAGGTCACCAACTATTGTATGCTAGTTTGGCAACTGTATCTGATTTTTGTCGTCATCCACATGCGACATAATGTATACCGGTTTAGTAGTCATGGCTGATTTCTGGTTAATTCCTCAATGAGGGCCAGGTTTGAGGCACATAGTGCCGAATTGCTAATTATTATAATGCATTCGAATATCCATCGAGGATAAGGCATGCAGTGCCCAATTGTTATCTATTATATTACCTGAGAATGAGACACATAGTGTCGAATTGTTATCCCTACCTGGTGTCCGTCCAAAGCATAATTTCTATAATATATATATATCTATAATAATTTTACCTTGGGTAGACACCGATTTTTCACGAATTAGTACACATATTTTGTGTCCGTCCAAAGCATAATTTCTATAATATATATGTATCTATAATAATTTTACCTTGGGTGGACACCGATTTTCTTCGAATTATACCTTGACTGAAAACCGATTTTTCTTCAAATTATATATACTCTTTGTGTCTATCCAAAGTATAACTATCCTTTCTATAAATTTTACCTTGACCAGACACTAAATTTTTTTTGAATTATATTTTTTGATGTCTATCCAAAGTACACTTTATAATATTAGTAATTATACCTTTCGAAAAAAAAAAGATTAGAAAATAAAATGCAACATTATAACAGAATTGATGCTAAAGCCTTAGCATATGCCCAGAGGCGAGAAGGGAGATGTTTGGCCAAAGTTAATCCTAAAATATATTTATGGGCATGTAAAAAGGGTTATCAATGGGAGGCATCATATAAAAATATGAAACAGAATTACCGATGGTGTAATATTTGCCCTAATGTACCAGAGAGGGCATGTTGATATATATTCGAAGATTTATTGCATAAAAAATTCCCACTTCGAAAACCTAAATTCTTGGAAGGTTTACACTTAGACAGATATAATGAAGAGCTAGGTTTGGCCTTTGAATACAGTGGTAATCAACATTACCAAATTGTGTCTTTTTTTCACCCACAAGGACAAATGAATCTAGATGCGCAAATTTGGCGTGATTGGAAAAAAAAGAGCGTTATGTTATAGAGAGGGGGTAATCCTTATTACAATACCCTATTGTGTCGTTGACTTAGAAACTTTTATAAAATGCGCCTTGCATGCATTCGGCTTCCTTCCAATAGGAACCATCTAGGTGGTAGCATAGGCTCCTCCTTAATATGCATCAATTGTTCTCTCACAAAGGGACGTTGAGGTCCTGATTCATCTAAATAATATAAAACAGGCATGGGAGGATTCTTTCCAACAACAATTTTTCGAATCTTATGGAGGCTAGGCGATCATATAGGGTCTGTTATTCTACGTCGCTCAAAAGGATCATTTTCCCATTCTCCAGGAGCACGTAAAAAT